GTTTTCTTGAAAAATTATGCTCAACTTGAGGCATGCAGCTTTAACATTTAATTGATTATTTATGAAAACATATTCTTAACGGTACCAATTACTAGTTAATATTCTTATGAAGAAAAGAAAAAGACATGTGACGACAAAAGTCACATATTGTATCATTTTTAAAGTAAACTCACGCCACATATCATTATTGGAATACTACATTAACATTTCAATGGCGTCACTAAATTACTGTAGTATCGCGTTAACATATCGTTTTAAAATCAATGTGTGATAATATTTTATTATATTTTCAAATCTAAAAAATGGAAAAAAAACAATAACAAAAACTTTGACTTACGGCAACTGTCGTTTCCCGCCATTGGTAAATTTACTCTGCCATTCAAACGTATAACATAGTTTGCATTTGCGCCCAAAAGCACCGTGCATAATACAAGACTGAACACCATTTCCATTGTATAAAGTCGGTTCCTAATTCTCCAAAGGATGATGGTCTATCAATACAGTCTTTCGCTCCTTCTTTCACTCGAATTGAAGCCTCATAATCACCAGCTTATATACTTATTCATTGCGTGATGTCTTTTCCATGATTGAAGCGAGACATGCAATTATATGCAATCCTTTGCACGAACATGATTTTTTTTTACATCAACATGCATCGATGTAGGTGCGCTCTTGAGTTCAATTTTCAACACTCTTAATTACGAAATATCTTTGTTTATAATGGAAATAACCTACACTGTATAAGCTTACGCAATATCATGTGGATACATTTTGAAAATAACTTAAGTTGAAAAAAGAAAGGAAATCTTGCATACTTATTAAAGCAAAATTTTTGGCATTTGCCAAAAAAAGCGTATTTGATGGTGATGATGGTTTACTTTTGGATTAGAATTTTGTTTTATTTGAAAATAGCGGGGTTGCGCTATAATGAGTACAAACTTACGTAATAGGTTCCTTATAAAGCATTTATTAGTAATTTAAATTAAATCAAATGTTTCAATAACATTACATCAACCTTATATTTCATTAACATGACATCAGTCTTGTTTTACTTTTCATACTTCTTAATCACTGATGTAAATAGGTATCCGTACTGTAATGACTTCCCGCCAAAAATTCTTACATCGGCCAATATCGAAGCAAATCGGTTATTTCCGAACGTTTATTTCTTTTCCAAAAGATTGGGCATTAGATTATTTATAATCACTCATCCTTGATAGCTATATACTAAATTCTGGTTATAAACGTACCGAAAATTGTGAAAATAACGTTCAGGAAATTAACGATTTATTAGGAAGAAAATGTTCGGCGTGAAAGCATTCCACAAAGACAACGCAGCAAATATCAGTCTGATCACGGTCTGCACAGCTCGCTATTCAGTCAGTATATATTGTGACATTTTCCCTAAAATGATGAATGATTTAATCTATAATGTAAGATGGCCTAGACAATCAATATCAATATTTAGCGTGGATGGAGTTCTTTTCGTGATTTTTATACATCATTAAGCAGGTGTTAAGCGCCGTGTGGCTGCTGTTAAAAATGCCACATTTTTTACTTTAATGTTGTAATGTTTTTTCTGGGGCCTATGGGATCATTGATTCCAACAGGTCAGTGTTGAAAATCGCGCTAAAGCCGGTGTTAGGGGGTTTGGCCGTGAGAGATGTTGCACTGTTATCTCCCGTGAACAGTCTCAATCAAATCAAGTCCTCAATTTTTATATAATATTGTTATTGTAACCTCTTTCGACGGATCACCCTATTTCAAGATATTTTCTTATGTTTACGACCATTCGTCTTGCAATGACTAGACAAAAATAAGATATTTTTGCTATTGTTGTGTAAAACTTGAACCTGAATATACAAATTTTAGCAAACAGGATAATGTAGCTTAAACATGTTAAATTTTAATTTTATGTAGAAGCATTGTTTAGTGCACTGTTATATACAGCTGTAACCTTGACTAATTAAATAAGTGAAGCGAATCCAACTTCAACGAGTGATAAAACTGTTGATGTAAGCAGAGCATTGTTTTCATGATGATGAATATGTACAAGAATAGATTGTTAAATATGTTTAAAGGTACATTTTGCCTCAGGAACGATTTTTTTAAAAATCTTTATAAAGGGGTAACATGTACTAAATGCCAAAAAATCAACAGAAGAAACAGATTGTTCAGGTAATTGACCAACGAGCAAATTTTTTGAAACTGAAATTGTTAAATATGTTTAAAGGTACATTTTGCCTCAGAAAAGATTTTATAAAAATTCTTTAAAAAGGGGTAACATGTACTAATTGCCTAAAAATCAACAGAAGAAACAGATTGTTCAGGTACTAGTAATTGGCCATTGAGCATTTTTTTCAACTAAAAGTACCCCACAATGAAAAGCTATTGAGGAACAAAAAAAGCATTTCCGAGGCTTTCTTTTAAACGATAACTAAAAGGACATTAAGCCTCAGATATTTTTCTTTTCTCTTAACATAGAAAGGGCAAAAATTCTTTTTTTTATAAAGTTGTAATAATGAATGAAGAACATGTTAGATGTTTATCCACTAAGAATGTGTTGCATGTTAGATAGTTTGTCATAAAGGTAGCAAAATGTAAATAAAAAGGTATTTACACTTTTATACAAAATTCTAAATCATACTATAAATTTAGCAATTGCCAAAATGCCAACAAGACAATTCAATACCAGCTCTAAGAATGGGCCTTTACTTCTTCTGATTGGGGTTGTTTATTTGTTTTTTTTCCGCTCCCACTTTTATTAACAAAGCTTGTCCTGTACAAATTAAGATTTAACGTGTTTCTTGTTGTTTGGTTGTGGTGTTTTTTGTTTGTTTTTTATGTTGTTGTTGTTATTATTATTATCATTATTATTATTTTATGCAAATAGATCTTGACTCGTGTTTAATGAAATTGTTATATTTAATTTTTATTTGTTTTAAATAATATTCATAATATTATTATAAACCTTTAAATACTACGTTTGTACACATACGGATACAACCAATCGCAACGTCTCGGCCCTTTCTGTCAAATTTCGAATAAGGATAGAGATAAACATTTAAAGATAAATTATATCACTCAATTAATTATATATAAAGTTTAAAATATGACCATGTCGATCTTAACTACTAAGTTCTTATTTTTATTTGTAGAAGATTTAAGAAAAAGCCAAAGTAGCTTTCAAACACCATCATGAAACACTCAACTATTTCCAAAAAGATCTAGAAGATGTGTTAAATATGTCAGACATATTATAGTTCAAAGCTAAAGACTAAAAGAGAGTGAAATATCTCAATTATTCAATATTGTCTTGATTTTTGTTAAACACATTTACTTTGTTTATATCTTAACAGTCATATAAGTCATATAATTTGATGATAAAATTACATTGTTACTCTGTGCATTTATTGTTTCATATAAAACGGTTGAAAGCAATCCATCTTTAAAATACAATTACAACAATGTTGTAAGCGAATAAGATGATTGTAATGATGATTAAATGATTGTAAACAAAGCGATTAAGAAAACATTTAATTGTTAAAAAAAACAAATAAGGGAAACCAAACAAATAAGAGAATTAAAACAGTAAACAAAGAGAATAAAAGAAATATAATTGTAATCAAGTCGAATAAGGAAATATAATTGTTAACAAAACGAATAAGGGAATATAATTGTAAAATAAACGAATAAGGTGATTTAATTGTAAACAAAACGAATAAGGGAATATAATTGTAAACAAAACGAATAACAGAAATATGATTATCGTAAACAAATGAGGCTTATTCGTGATGCAATGGCCACATAAATTGAAGGAGTTAAAGTGTTGTATTATGAACTTATAGACAAATGTATACAGCTCAAATAAAAAGCTAAAACTGTCTGAACACCACAGACAAAAGATACATTTGTTCGTAATTATGCTTATCCAAACACCATGGAAAAGCTAAAACTGTCTGAACACCACAGACAAAAGATACAATTGTTCGTAATTATGCTTATCCAAACACCATGGAAAAGCTAAACTGTCTGAACACCACAGACAAAAGTTACATTTGTACGTAATTATGCTTATCCAAACACCATGGAAAAGCTAAAACTGTACTGAACACCACAGATAAAAGATACAATTGTTCGTAATTATGCTTATCCAAACACCATGGAAAAGCTAAAACTGTCTGAACACCACAGACAAAAGTTACATTTGTACGTAATTATGCTTATCCAAACACCATGGAAAAGCTAAAACTGTCTGAACACCACAGACAAAAGATACATTTGTTCGTAATTATGCTTATCCAAACACCATGGAAAAGCTAAAACTGTCTGAACACCACAGACAAAAGATACATTTGTTCGTAATTATGCTTATCCAAACACCATGGAAAAAGCTAAAATGGTCTGAACACCACAGACAAATTATATATTTGTTTCCAATAGAGCGAGTTCATGCAACATGACATACATAAATAAAATAATAATAATAATAATATTAATAATAATAAAAATAATCCAGGCGTTTTGCATACCACAGAGGGACGAATTAATGATTAATGTAGAGATCTATATGACGGCGTTATTTACGCCTGACTGCGATAAAAATTCTAATCGTTTATATATGTTTCTACTTCATTTTATTGCTTAAATGGACTGCTGCTAGAAATGTTTAAAAACAAACATTTTTTTCAGAATCATGGCCGACGATCTAGAGGTCGGAAACAACTAGTCCAATATTCCCAATATATTTGAAAAATTCGGGACACCTGCAGGATCTTCTAGTCAGTTAGAAGACATCCAAAATGCAATAAAAGGTTTAACGGATCCTCTTAATGAAATGAGGTCTGACGTTAATCCTTTAAAAAAGACCTGCAGTTACTTTGGAAGAAACATCCACTTCGAAACGGTTTTGCACGAGGGATGATTCACGAAAGCGTGGGATATTTTTTCACCGATCTGGGGTCACCGACAGAAATGATGATGATGATGATGAATTCTGCATGGTGGATTTCTTCGAGGATGCCTCAGAAACAGGAGCGGCGATAAGTGACAAACTAGCCACTTTGAGCAACCGAAAGAAGAAAAAAAAGTAACTTTTGGACACACACAAGAGGCCTAACAATTTAGATTTTCTACAAGTACGTTTGGTGAATGAGCAGTTGGGGCGACAGTTGCCATCTCAAGTCAAAGCACATGATTTTCTGTTGCAGAGAACACAGAAACATTTTTCGTCTGCTTTGGTACCGGTATTGAAGGCCATGGATGAGTTAAAGACAGATGGACACCAAAAATGAAAGAGTTGATTGGGGATACTTTCAAACTGTTAACCAATGCCTTTGTCACTACTTCTCAGATGAGACTTGACAGGATAAAGAAAAGACTTCTCCCGCTTTATAGGCCAATTTTTTCAGCAAACCAATCTGCCACTCATCTGTTTGGCGATAAAGAAGATGAAGAACTTAAAAAATTAAGGGACAATAAGTAGCAATTTACATGTACTTCCAGACGTTCTTTTTTAGGGAAACGCCAGGGTATGGCGACCCTGGTGCCTCAGCACAAACAGAAACATGCGTTCAATTCACAGGGCAACATGAATTTCAATCTACAGCGACGGCGTCAAAATCACAATTACAGAACAAAACAGCAGAAAAAGAATACTGTCCGATCAAGAGCACAGAAAAAGTAATATCCGAAGTAAGTAATCATAATATGAAATATTCCTCTACCATTATTAATACTTCACACAATGTTCGGGCGGGGAAGACCAGAATGGCGTTGAATGAGTGGAGAAAAATAACCAAAGATAAATGGATACTAGAAACTGTTAACGGTTATCGGGTACAGCTGTCAGCAACTCCTTTTCAGTATAAAATTCCAAAACCATTTTTATTTTAAAGAAACCGAAAAACAAGCAATACAGTTTGAAATTACACGTTTTTTTATATCAAGGAATAATAGAACTTGCAGACGAAAACTTGGACGGAGAATACATTTCGAATATATTCACAAGACCAAAATCAGACGGACGTATTAGAATTATTTTGAATTTAAAATCCTTCAATAGCAACTACGTCAGCAAAATACAGTTTAAAATGGAAACTTTGGGATCACAGCAATGAGGAAAAATTGTTATTTCGGCAAGGTCGACATTTCTGATGCTTTTTACACTATACCTATATACGAACGGAACAGACGGCATTTTCGTTTCTTTTTCGAAGGTGTAAAATATCAATTTACAGCGCTTGTGATGGGATTTGCAAAAAGCCCTATGATATTCACTAAACTGTTGAAGCCAGTTTTTTTCTCATTTAAGAGCGCGGGGTCATTTAAGTTCAATTTATATCGACGACGCATGTTTGCAAGGTCAGTCATACTCCGCCTGTGCTCGAAATATCAGCGAAACAATTGATTTATTAGACAAGTTAGGATTTACAATTTCAATGAGTAAATCTGTCCTGGTTCCGTCGAAAAAAGATTGTATTTTGGGGATTTGTGCTGTGCTCTAAAACAATGACTATAAGATTAACAAAGGAAAAATGTGATGATATCACAGAGCTTTGCAATAACATTATAACATACCGGCGAATAACAATTCAAAAATTTTCAAAGATTATTGGCAAACTGGTTGCAGCATCACCGGGGGTTATGCATGCTCCGTTGTACATAAAACCTTTAGAACGACATAAAGAAACGGAACTGAAAAACCATAAGGGTAATTTTAATAGTTTTTTACAATCACGCCAGATATTTTGGAACATTTGCGATGGTGGATCACTCATATACATTCATGTTTCAAAAGTATTACGTCGCCTGACCCGAATAACATTATGTTTACTGATTCTTCGGGACATATGTGGGGCGCGTATGATAAAACAGAAAATAGACGAACAAATGGATTTTGGTCGGCGGAACAACAAAATCAACATATCAATGTGTTAGAATTAAAAGCGTGTCAAGTTGGGCTATTGCCGCTTTTAAACATAACAGAAATATCTATATAAAAAATTATATGGGTAACACTACGAGTGTATCATACATAAATAATACGGGGGATCGGTGTATTCAAAGAAACATTTTGTCGTCAGCACATCATGTATCGGGGTCATTGAACCGCACGGCAGACAAACTGGGTCGTACTGGAAAAGAAGATCTAGAATGGAGTATATCAGCGGAGATGTTTTCACAGCAATTTGTCGGTCTTTCCCGTCCTTAAATATAGATTTATTTGCATCTAACTTAAATAACAAGTTTCCGACGTATGTTTCAAGACAACCTGACCCAAATGCTTTTGCTATAGACGCGTTTTCATTCCCATGGCATGATAATTGTTATTATTGTTTTCCACCTTTCAGTGTAATTGGCAGGGTCCTGCAAAAAGTAGAAATAGATCAAACAGAACTTTTGTGTTTAGTAGCACCAATATGGCCTGCACAGACTTGGTGGCCGACATTAATACAACTTATTGTTGCACCATGCCTTCTACTTCAACACCCTCAGGACATCCTTACGTTGTGCCATCGACCGGGAAAGAAACACCCATTAAAAAAGATGAGGCTGGCGCTTTTTCCCATATCAGGAAAGCGCTTGAAGATAGAGGGATTTCAAATGAAACTCTGCAGGTTATCATTAATTCGTAGCGGAGAACAACCCGGAAACAATATGAAACATATCTTAAACAATGGTTTCATTTCTGTGAAGGGAAACACGATCCCTTTAAACCCCTTGTAGCAACAGTGATAGCATTTTTGTCTCACCTATATTCAAAAGAGATAACCTACAGTGCGATTGGTATTGCCAGATCAGCAATTTGTGTGTTTGTTAAGATAACTTCAAACGTAGATATCAGCAATAATAACCTGATATCACGGTTCATGAAAGGTGTATTTAACACAAAGCCGGCACTTCCGAGGTATAAAGAGATATGAGACGTGCGAACAGTTTTAGATTTTTTATCAAAAACACAAAATGATACTTTATTATTTTTGGCTGGAAAATTAAGCATGTTGTTTTTATTGTTGTCAGCTCAGCGGTGTCAAACACTCCATCTCATTTGTTTGGAAGACGTTAATATTTCAGACGAAAGATTGATAATAAACACTCCACATTTATTAAAAACATCTAAACCTGGTCGACATCCGACAACCTTTTTGTTTGACAGTTTTAAATCAGATAAACGCTTGTGTATTGTCAGGGTCATTAGTGAGTATTTACAGAGAACGAAAGACCTCAGAAATACCAATAAATTACTGATATCAACGGTCAAGCCTCATGGGGCCGTTTCTAAACAAACAATTAGTCGCTGGATTAAGCTAATTATGCACAGAGCTGGGGTGCATAAATCACATAGCACGCGCGCTGCTGCGTCTTCAATCGCACACATGCGTGGAGTCCCTTTACAGACGATAATTGATTCAGCGGGATGGAGCAATGCAAAGACATTCGCTAAATATTATAATAAATCAATATCAAATACCAATTGAAAATCTATGCAGGCTATTATAGATATTGCTAGTTAGAGAACTGTAGTAATAATAATTTTAGCTGTATTTAATTACTTTCTATATAGTTGTGCATGGCATTTACATTCTGTAAAAATATGAAAAACATGTGTTTTTACCGAATTGCAAAATACAAAAATACCTTTATAAAAATCGTTGAAATTAAATCGTTGTTCTTCATAATAACATGAAAGAGAAATATTTACTATGGCGTACACGGCACGTAATGTCCTTTCCAAAATATCGCAAAAAGGACTCTAAAATCTCTGTGGGGCCCATTAGTGAGTTTATATGTAGGATGAAATTATATGATTAAGCTAGACTTACCTGTAAGGTGAAGGTTAATCATGATTTCATCCACATAAAACTCACTAAGGGCTCACACACCCAACCCGCTACCTTCCCGTTTAAACTGATATTTTTGCGATATTATTCGACATTACTTACTCTAAAATATGACCACTGGCTGCTGATAGCTGCGTCTTCTCTCTGTGAGAGCCCTTAGTGAGTTTTATGTGGATGAAATCATGATTAACCTTTTCCTTAGAGGTAAGTCTAGCTTAATCATATAATTTGTTATAATAAGATTTATCCAATTCTAAAACTAACATACTGTGTTTGAATAATATTATTCTTTAAGGCCATATACTCGGAAAATACGAGAGGAAGAAACATTTTTAAAAACAATAACACGATCCGTGGCAGTGTGTTTTAGGTCGTTGACATCAAACCACTTGTCCCTCACCGCTGAAGGTACGAATCCCTACAGGGACTTTGGATTCTTTCAAGTAATAAGCCGTCTAGCTAGCTTACGGAACGTCGGTTGTTATATTCAAGGGCCGGTTCGTTCCTGAAATAATGCACGGAGAGAACCCGAGGTCTTTCTCTACCAGTTAAGCTTGAACGTCGCCATATAGTCTATATTGTGTCGGTGTGACGTAAACCCATCTATCCTTTGTCATGTGATCATGCAAGGGAAACAACACTGTATTAATATCAATTATAACTGTTTTATTTGAGACACATTTGATATGTTCATGATAAATTTGATAAGTTACCAGTCCAAAATATTTGGAACAGATACATAGACTATCCCAAGAATCATAATTTGATATGTCAGATTGGTGTATTTGCTTATCAGGCCAATCATTGAATTATTTTCACTACCGAACATATAGATTATGCTTCAGAAAATACCTTCCCAACCAATTTTAATTGTTCAAATTATTTTGTTTGAAAGACTTCTTATTTGTTTGTCTGATATAAGTCAGATGTAACTTTCAAAATTGTTCATTGTTTGTTAGTTGTAAAGGGGCACATTTGCTTTTGAAGGATTGAAAAGGTGAATAAGAGAAGCTATGTTATTTGTGTGCAGTGTCGCAAAAAGGAATACATTTCATTTGGAATATGTATACGTGTTTTAAATTTGTACTAGATGAGCTTTGATAGCGGAAAATTAGGTATTTGATGACTTTGATGTTATTCTTCATTACCTCATATTTCAAACTTTTATTTCCATCTTATGTTTACATCATGAAAACAGCATAAGCATCATTTTATAATAATTGCAGCGAAAAATGGCGGCATATAAAGTTAACAAGGTCTAGCCAAACAGAGAATGAGTACAATCCAAACAAAACATGTAAAATTACAAATAAAAATATGTTAATTGCAAATAAACATTTTTGAAGTAAACAAGAAATCCGGACATATCAGTGTAACATGTTTTTAGATACAATTTCGATAAGAAATACTAAGTTTATTTAGTATAATTTATTTTTACTACTTAACAATTCTTCTCAATTGAAAAAATTGGGATTAACATAGAAATAACGTTTTAAATATTTTTTCTTTCATAAAAACTGTTGACATGTGAACAAATAATGAAATTAGTCACCTACAACAGCATAACAAAAGAAACATTTTCTTTCAGAAGAAGGTATGCCCTGTCATCTTCCTGTTTCCACAGGCAGCCTATGATTTCTAGTAAAAAACAAGAATCTGTGTTTGATAAACACAAATGTCCCCGCGCTCACTGTTGTCAATAATTTAACTTTAGAGAGTGAAGTAGCTAATTTGTATGGAAGAAAACCAATCATGTGAAGAAATCTGTAATTGGCACCCTTGACCTTGACCAACTGACCCCTACCTCTATCAAAAGGAAGAATATCATGCAAGTTATTTTCCTACCAAATATGAAATAAATCTGTCAATAAATAAAGGCTGTATGGGCAAAAGTTTAAAAAATCTATTTTTAGCACTGATGACCTTGACCAAACTGACCCCTAACTCCATCCAAAGGAAGAATATCATGCAACTTATTTTCCTACCAAATATAAAAAAAATATGTCAATATATAAAGGCTGTTAGGTAAAAGTGTAAAAATCTATTATTAGCACTGTTGAACTTGATCCAACTGACCCCTAACTCCATCCAAAGGAAGAATACCATGTAAGTTATCTTCCTACCAATTATAATACAAATCTGTCAATAAATAAAGGCTTTTGAGCAAAAGTGTAAAAATCTATTTTTAGCACTGGTGACCTTGACCCAACTGACCCCTACCTCAATCCAAATGAGAATACCTCAATTATATGTTCCTACAAAATATACAAGACATCTGTCGATAGAATAAGATTAATACACTTGTAAAAGTGTAAAACAAATATTTTGGCATTGAAGACCTTGACCCAAATGACCCCTTACTAAAGGAAAAGGAAGAGGACCTCCCTTGGTATGACTATTATAAACATGAAAGACATTAACTTAAAAATAAAGGCTGTATGAGCAGAAATGTTAGATTTATTTATTACACAAGTGGCCTTGTCCTTGACCTAGAGACGCCTAACGCCACAAAAAATTAGAGGACCGTTAAAGGTATCCACCAACCAAATATGAAAGATATCATTAAATAAATTACGAAATTAGGTGAATATTTTTTTGATAAATCCAACTTGGCAGAATAGGTTAACCATACAACGCCCTATTTTCAAAGTGATAAAAAGGGAAATTACTGGAAAAATGGATGGCACATTTATATAACTTGGCAATATCATGTACATTGTATTGATAAGTAAGTGTGAAAATTATTAAGCCATTAGTTTATAAAGAACATAAGATATTTCCAACTTGCCGATTAGGGTTAACCATTATTCATTTTCTAAGTGCTAAAAAGGGCCATAACTTGGTGCAAATGGAATCTGATAAACAAGCCATAGTTATGTAACTTGCCCACATCATATACTTTGTATGGATTAGTAAGTGTGTAAATTATGAAGCCATTGGTATAGGTAGAACTTAAGAAAAATCCAACTTGCCGTTCTAGGTTAACCTCAGACGGACAGCCGGACGGACAGACGGACGGACGGTCGAATTACTATATGCCCGGGGGCATAAACCTTTATTAATATTCGTGTTTGATGATAATTGTATATCAATATGCCATTTCTGTATAAAATCATCTTTTAAATTTCGGAAAATTGACCGAATCAACCATTTCTCATTTATGAAACACTGACAGTACGATATTCCTGAAAACCTAAACAACACAACAAATTTCTAACATTTTTGATCCATTGGGACATAACATTGTTTAAAGTATTCATTTCATATAACATGCTGTAAACTTTACCATAAAGTTTGTCGATATTTTCTCTCAAAGAATTTATCAGTTTCGTCAAAAATGATATAACTCTTTGGTATAAATTAATACGAACTGTAAAAAATATAATTGTAAAACTTTAATTGAACTTTTTCAATAATATCAACATTTTCAAATTCCCAGATTTCACATCCATAAAGTAAAGCTGGTTTTACCATTCTGTCAAAAAGATCAATATGTAATTCGTTTGGTAAATTAATTTTTTTTTTCAAAAGTGAAAACAATGCTTTATTTCCTTGGTCTGCTATGTATTTCTTCGTTGAAGTAAACCACCCACCTTTAGTAAAATAAATGCCATGGTACATTTGTACTTGGTATTCTTTAATAATTTCAACTTGGCTATCGTCAATATACCTTTACTAAATACAGTACTTTTGTTATATCAACATTGATTTTTAATTTCCACTGATCACAATATGATTTGAAAGTATTTAATGCATTTTGTAAATCATTTTCAGATTCTGCAAAAATTACAGTATCATCTGCATACAAAAGAACAAATATGATCAAGTACATTTGCAAGATTTCCACATTCAAAATACTACAAAATCCATTAACATTTTTATCATATAAATAGTTTTCTAAGGCATTCAAAATATACTAAACAAAAGTGGGAACAAATTATCACCCTGTCTAACACCAACATTACAATAAGAAAAAGTTAGTAGAACCTTCACTTGTTACTACCTTTGACTTAATAGAACTATACAAGTTAAAAATAACATTAAAACCGTTTCCATTAATATTTTCTATTCGTAATTTATACCTTAGAACGTTTCTCCAAACCGAGTCAAACGCTTGTTTAAAATCTATTTAACAACAATAAAGTATCTTACTGTTAGACTGCACTATATCCATAAGACGTTTGTGTATAATTAATATAATTGAGGATATTTAAGTTCTGTTTAACAATACTTTCTCACACAAAACATTTTACACTGCATTCAATCTCATTACATTTTCAAGTGAACAGTTTATTTTACGTAAGAACGTACTGAGGTTTTTTTTTTACACAAGATCTGAGTTTTAATTTTGTCCAAAATAACGAAAATAATATCAGAACTTATCAGGATTCAGTTTATGATGTTCAATGTATGTCTACTATATGATTATTGATGTCTTTAATTGATATAATGTTTATAATTTTCATATATTGTTTGCATATTAATCAAGTACAATGTATTTATAAAAATGATTGCCTACCGACTGCGTAGATGTTGGTGTTAGAAATTGAGTTCACTTACCGAAACACGAAAGGTTCGTTTAGAAACACATACATCTTAAAGTGTTCCAATTTTCCAGATTAATTGTCCTACAAGAAATTATTATGTCATTGTTATGCAAGCTATAATAATATTTCTATATGACTTTGCATGGAAAACTAAGAACTAACATGTGCAAATTAACCAGTTTTACTTCAGCTGAGTATCTCTTTTTAACATCTTGTTTGAAACATGTTCTTCATCAGGTACAAGAGTGCAAATGGCTGGAGGTGCAGGCGTACAGGGGAAGCATTGTAATTAACGAACACATCTTACTGCTTTTGAAATAACCGGACAAATGGCACAATTACTCATTCTTATTTAACAAATAATTAATGCTCTAGTCAAAAGATTATATTACCTAATGTCTTCTATAAATTACTAATTCCTTATTTACAACTGTTAATTTAATTGAACAAGTGAAATGCTGTGAAATAAACTGTTGACCGGTGTTTCACCCCTGTCATCGGGCATTTCCGTTAACGCCGTCCGCAACTTTCCGGTTCTCTAACGTCGCTCAAATCAAACGTTTGTATGATTCAGATGTAAACAGTTTACAATTTAAACAGTTGTAAAAATGTTATAAATACATTTATGTTGATGCAGTATATAAATTATAGTTTGATTGCAAAGCATTAGGAAATCAAAACGTTAGTTCATGTGGGTGACATTTGGAACCTCTGGCAACAATTCAAATGCCATCCCTGATACCTCAGGGCAACCGATTTGACTTTACCACAAACACCCATGAAATAACTGTGTAATACATGTTATATATGTATACACTGTATAATTAGTTATTATTGAAACAATTTTGAATCAGAAATATGACATTAATTCGTTCTTACGCAATACTGTTGTAAAAAGAGAAAATAGGACGGGTCTCTTGGCGTTAAAACAGTATAACGCTGGTGTTCAATTTTCTGTTTAATGATTAAAAAATAAAAACCTTATGGGTGATTTTCTTGAAGCTCTGTCTTCCTTTAGGACATTGAGTACTTTTGTTATGGTCATTGGCTTTACTTTTATATGTGTCTACATGATCATTTTAGTGTTTTACTTATTTAACCTTTTGTAACCATGACAACTGTTAGAATTTCACTTGGCGGGGATTCATTTTATTTACACTGTCTCGTTTATAGGAACATGGTGGGGCTAAGAGCGAGGTTTGGTGCACCATTAACCGGTTTAAACTCCCCAGCAGTCATTATTATGCTGCTGACCGTTCCAAGGCGGCGCCCCACTGTGTTCCTCAGATGTATGTCTATGTTGTTTCATACTGTTTTGGTGACACTTTTGCTTGTGTCCCTTGTTGTTTTCTCGTCTACGGTAGTATCTTCCCCTTTGCCTCTAGTTTTTATTTCTTTGATTAACTCCCCCCCCCCTTCCCCCGGTCTCCTGCCCCATTCCCCTTTGTGGGTCTATTATTTTTTTCTTTGAATTCCTAATCAGTTACAAATTATTTATCATTTAATGATTAACTGTCCGTGCTCTGTCTTTGCCCTGTCCTGTTTTTGTTTGGGGTCCGCCTGGGCTCCTTGCCATTGGTTCTTGTTGCTTGGTCATGTGGGGGTTGCGTTCATTGAACGCCGCCTTTCCTTGTTGATCTTGTTTATCATATTTTCTATACATGATTATTCAATATTGTCAACAGATTTTGAGAAATGTCTTGAATATATATTTTTTCCTGCTAAATAATATATTATCAGAAAAGTTACCTAGCAACAATGTATTCAGTGAATATTATTTCATTTTAAGGATAAGCAGCAGAATGACAAGACTGAGAAGCGCCGTCTGGATTTCTTAGACATATTATTAACTGCACGAGAAGAACATGGGCTTGGCTTGTCTGCACAAGAAATACAGGATGAAGTTGATACGTTTACATTTGAGGGTATGAAAATACATGTATACATGTATATACATAAAAATATGAAAAAATGATAAATTTTCATTGTGGTGTTAAAATTAAAAAAAAATATTTAAGAAATAACAACAAAGCTTGCTGCGCATGTCATCAGCCGAATATTCTGATCAGCAAGGATACGTATATATTTTTATTTAATCGCTTATGAATTCAATATTGAGGTAAATTTGCGTTTTATGACGTAACAAAATTAAATACTCTGATGATTCAAGAATATTTAGAATCTTGATTTTAAAAACTATGCCTTTATATTCACAATTTGAAATTTAATGTTTTTTTCCGCCTTGTAAATGATACAAGTGCTGGTAAATCCCACTCCCCCGGGATAAGCTGAAACTTGAATAACCTGTTAAGGGGTTTGTGTTGGTGTGAAGTGGGTGTTTTTTTTATTTATCAGCAAAAGCAAATGTTTTCATTTTCATTATGGATATATTGATATATATTTTGGTGTACACGATAGAACTACATGTATAAGAATATAATTATCTGTTCATCTAATGACATGTTTGCACAAATATACCCGGGAGATCTCGTAATAATGATGCTTGTAGTACATGTACATACAGCTTTTCCATTTACACACCATTCGCCGCATATCATAACCTAACAACAACAACAAAATCTAAAGTATATCAAAGAATCAAAGATATAGCAGCCAGATCATTATACTCCTGGAGTCTCCATAGGAAATAATGGTATTATATGAACATGTTCAAGCCGGAAATGCCGCCGCTATTTTTCTTAATGGCTCGGATATCCTATTTGTTTTACGCATGCGCTCTAAGAGCGTATATTATACGATGAAAACGCTATAAAATCAGAATGACATTTCTTATTAAGCTCAGAGATGGAGTTTTGTATCTTATGTGATGAAAACGCTATTTTAAGAAAAAAAACTATTTTTTAACAATCTAGGTCATGATACAACATCGTCAGCCATTAGCTGGACAATTTTTGCTCTGGCTAAACATCCAGTGCTACAAGAAAAGGTTTTCAGTGAAGTCAGGAATATCATTGGTGGAAAGAACAGCTTATCATCGTACGTTTTCTGGCACCTTCATCATTTTTAGATCGACTATTATGTTTATTTTAAAGAAAGAGCTATCCTACTCACTCGGGCGTCGGCGCCTGCGTCACACTTTTTGTTAAGTTTTTTTGTACCGCCCCACTTATTATTTTTACCCTTTGCGGTATTGCTTGAAACTCGGTACACTTCTTTGTGAACTTCATCCCAAATTCCTGACAAGAGGTCATACACATTTTTTATGAATTTAGCATATTTGTTGTTATAAATACAAGGACAAATATTTTGTTTGGGAACACTATATTTTGTGTTTGTGTGTCCGTTAGAAAACATGGATCTTTTTTTCTCTGTACTTTCTCTATATTTGAAAACAACGTAATTGTACGAATTTTAAAATCTTCCACCAATAACAGTTTAACATTATATTTTTTGTAACAATGAATCAATTCAGTACGTCAATTATCATTTATCCTGTACATCTTTAGTTTGCAGTGAGTTAAATGTTTCTGTTGATTGTAATCAATTTTTAAAACTTCAGAGAACAACTTGGAAAATTTACATATTTGCCAACGTTTATTAAGGAAGTTCTTAGGTACTACAGTCCGGTGCCAATGATTGCACGGAGACATACGGACACACCGATTGTTTTAGATAGTATAGATATTCCTGTTGGTGTCAGTATTTGGGTACAAATATACTGTATACATCATAATAAAGATGTTTGGCCGAATCATGAGGCGAGTATTAGATAACATATTCCTAAACAATCTGTAATTCGTGTGGATTTTGTCAGTGATGGGTAGGGGAGCGTGGAGGATTTTGCACTTTACTTGCTTAATCATGCACAGATTGACTCGAATTAAGTCTGCACCTTTCTTGTTTTTATTACTTCACCGATAACAGCGTTCATCCATTTTCCAGATTCCTTTTTCATTCATTTTCAATTGTTTAAATTGTTCGTCTGATGTGCATGTATTGGCAGTCATTTTTATTGTTACTATTTTCATTTATATATTTATCTCTTTTTTTTTGGGGGGTAGGGGGGTCGTATTCTAGACATACTATTGACAAGAAGTATACACTTGTATCTAAAAACATTTAACATTCAAGTTTAACTTGACATTGAAGTTTTTTTATATGTTCAAGATTTGCTGTATTTTAATGTCACTTTTCCACTAATTAATTGTGTTGTTACGTTACATGTACAGATAAATAACTTAAAACATGTGTTAATGCTATGATAATAGTAATTTTGCTCTCCCTCTTTTATGTTTAAGGTATTTGATCCAGAAAGATTCAGTGCAAACCAAAGAGATGAAACAGATATTTATGGATTCATTCCATTTTCAGCTGGTTCTAGGTAATAATTATACATATACGTACATGTATATCAACAATATAACATTTATATTTTGGACCGTTAATTGCACGAATTTTTCAAAAAATAAAAATAGTAGCCATGTTACCACCATTAACTGGTGTAAAACAGCAGTAGCAGGTAAAGGCCATGTACTAAGCCAAAAACAATCACTCTGACATTTATCCCCTTGGCTTGCTAGCGACGATTAGATTTACCCGTGTCTAGACAAGATTAGCCGACACACCTGTGTCCACTAGTCATGGTCTGCATTGTTTGCTTTTCCGTCAGTATATTTTTTTTTAAAATTCCGTATTACAAATTATGAATACATTGTAGTTTGTCGTGTTAATGGTTAACAAAGTGTTTTGACTTAATTAAGGTAGATGTTATTTTCTTATCATTATTTTTGGTCGCACAAACGCATTATATGTCATATGGCAACTTTCCAGCTTTACTGGTGGAGGAAGACCTCAGTTGCCCCTCGGTGCGTTATTTCAGGCACAAACGCGCACCTGAGTAGAACCACCGACGTTCCGTAAGCTAGCTGGATAGCTTTCTCACATGAAAAAAATTCGAAGACTCTTGCCTGTCTCGAACCTACAACGGTGAGAGGCAAGTTGTTTGAAGTTATGTTTGTGACAAAAAACTGAGTTGTGGACTAAGCAGGCAAAAGAAACAAACACATATTTGAAATATTTCCTTCAGTTTGTAAATGACTCTTCTGTTATTAGGAAACAACTATAGTACACGTATATGTTTATGTTTTTGACAGAACTTAATTATATATTTATAATAAAGATCTTGTTCTTTTTCTGACATTATTTTACAAAAACACACTATTTGTTCATCTTTCAGAAATTGTATCGGACAGGTTTTTGCAATGAATGAAATCAAAATAACAATTGCCAAACTGGTTAACAGGTACATGTTTTATTTTTGATGATCCTTTAGTATGAATAAGTTTACTTTTGAATTATATGCGACTTACACAAGTATGGATACAGTACTCAAATTTAAGAACTATTTTTGTTTAATGTTTAATCAATAAGATTTTCTGGAGACGATGTCAAAACCGAAAACCAAATAATATTGCTGGGTAACACTAACCGTGGCTAATTTTCTATACATTTTTTCCTTTATTTTTTATGAATATGATGATGATGATAATTATTATGATTATTGTTGTTGTTGTTGTCGTCGTCGTCGTTATCATCATCAATATCATCTTCGTGATCGTCATCGTTATTAATCATTATAATTATCAAAATCATCATCATTATCATCACCATCATCATTTTGAATGACCTTGATTTTGCACGTTCTAGAAATATAGGAATAGCTTTCTGGATACAGCGATCATGTTTTAAGCAAAAGGATCTTGAAAATGGATGTAAAAATGAGATAAAAATGATAAAACCGTCGTAAAGCTTTTACTTATATATGCATGCATATTTATATAGAAATTTGTATTAATAAAAAAACATTTAATATTTTACACATATGATATGCTTTATGTCAATTGTTTATGGTTTAAGGTTCGAGTTCCTGGTTGACCCGGAGAATGAGCCGGTTCTGCTACCAGATATTATCATGAGGTCTCAAAATGGAGTGCACGTGAAACTGATTGAACGGAAGCATTAAATTTTTGAAAAGTGGAACCGTTTTTTATTTCAAATACCGATTTTAAAACATAAAACGAAATATTGATTTGTGAAACATTAATTTAACTCATGTCTTATATTTTTTCATTAAATCTAATCTTAATTTATCTTTTGTTCTTAAGAAATTGATCTTGATATATGTATACTATGCGATGAAAACGCTATAGAATCAGAATAACATTCCTTATTAAGCTCAGAGATGTATCTTAAGTGATGAAAACGCTATAGAATCAGTGTCACGTTTCACATTAAGCTCAGATATGGAGTTTTGTATCTTATGTGGTGAAAACGCTATAGAATCAGATTTTTTTTTTACTTTAAACACAGAGAAAGAAAAGTTTTGTATCTTATGTGATGAAAACGCAATGGAATCAGAATAACATTTCGCATTAAGCTCAGAGATAGAAGCGTTTTGAATCTTATCAGATGAAAACGCTATAGAATCAGAAAAACATTTCATATCAAAACAACATTTTATATTAGTTAAGCTATTAAAGATATTGATGTAAGGATTCGAGTACTAAGATTTATTAATAAAAATATTAAAACATTGTGTAATCTACTATAAACTTTGCCCTAGCATTTTTGTTATTCTTGTTCGTTTTGTTTTGTTTTTGTAAATGCAATTGTAGAGCTAATTGTTAATAAACTGAAGCACATTGATGTTACGTTGATCTAATGAACTGTGTCTTCCAATCTATAAATAAAAGATAATTGCTTTGAACAGACTATTATCCTTCGAGTCACAACAATAGGTGAAAAAGAACTGTCTTGTTTATACCTGTTCCCAAGTCCTTTTGAGGAGATTAATTCCGGTATTGTATCCGGCATCTTTGATCTGTTCAACCATTACATGTTGAGGTTGTATGACGAATTTACCCAGCTTTAAATTTCGAACTGTCCATTCAATGTTTAAGCAACACAAAATCAATTTGCTATAAGTATAGAACCTGCTCATGCTGCGCGTTTCGTGCAGGCTGACCTGGCTATATACTGGTGGCAATGGCTTATAGATAATAACTATCTGTTTTAGCCGGTTTTTACTTAAATTTTAAGACTGGGTCTACTAAAAGCTTATAACATTTGTATAATGACTATGACCTTGACCTTTGATCCCTGAACAACTAATTACTGCAAGTAAGGTCAATCAAACATATGAATGGAAACTGTACATACGCCTTTGAAGAGGCGGGTGTGCGGTGGAATAGGGGAGAAGTAGTGAGCTTGCTATGTTCCGTCTAGAAGAGTATATATGTTATATAAGATATGTTATGTTTTGCAACCCTTTCATCCGACAAATTTGTGAAGACAGTATTGACAGTAAAAGTCATACTTAGTAGATAGGGTTCCTTGAACAGATAATTACCACCTAACTCCCCACCATCCTGTCTCAAATATGAATTTTCAGACTTAGATTTAAGTTAAATCTTCTCCAATTCTTATATTACAGTAAATTACAGTGATATATACATGTATGCATGTGCCTTTTTTCAAATGTTCATAATATTAAGTATTTCAATAAAAACCACACATTTATTCAGTTGTAAATAATTCTTTATTATATAATTCTTAACATTTGTTAGACACTAAAATTAAATAATGTACCGTAAAAAAAAATAAGACGACCGTATTTCACTGAAACAATTTGTTCAATGTCCTTTCATATTGAACTATTGTTGAATCTGGCTACCATATTCTTTTTCCATTTGATTTTCTTGAACCTTGTCGTTCTTGACGTCTACTTCTTACGCAAAACGAAAAAGTATCAATTACATAAGATGTAACAACCCAGCAGGCACATCAACGTTGTTTCAACGTTGAATTTTGGTCAGATTTCAACGTTGAAATAAGGTTGGATTTATATTCGGATTTGAAAGTTGAAACAACGTTGAAATTTCAACGTTGATACAACGTTGCAGCTTCAACGTTGGCACAACGTTGAAGTTTCAATGTCATTTCAACGTTGAAAACCCACCATACTTTAATTTTTGGATATAAAGCAAAGTAACCAAGTTTAACAAAATATCAAGACAATATTAAATACTTCAGATATTTTATTTCAAAAATACAGTTCAAGTGCAGCTTAAATTCACTTTAATAGTTTTATCAATTAAGCTACAATCTGTTCCAATCTTTTCTTCTTGATCTTTCTGGGTATGTCAAGTGTTTGAGTACTTCTTTGGCTGTCTCTTACTGCTTCTGCAAATAAAAATAAGAAGTTTGTAGTTAAAAGTGACTTGGTCAATCTCAAATTATACATATAATTACTCAACTTAGTGATTTGTTTTTATCTTAAAATGCTTTTCTCTAAGATTTACATCATTAAACAGCATAGAAATTGAAACATAGCTAAGTTTGATATTGACAGCAAATACTGTATATAAGACAACAAAATCTTTTTAAAAAGAAGCTATTTAAAAGTCTCACCTATGATTGGTAAGAAAAACTGCTCCCCGTCAGTTCCTTGCAGCATATTCCCAAGAAATTAACATTCTAGGCTCTAGCTAAGACCATTTTATGCAGCATCCTGAAATCAACAAACATGTAAATTTTATATTAATAATGTTACAGGAATATTCCAAAAAAATATATTTTAAGACAAGATAAATATCCAGTAGTTGAAAAATTTATTCTTTGTATTGTAAAGAAATTCAAATATATAAATTAATAAGAATAAATTTCAATTTAACAAACCTGACAGTCCTTTTCATGTTGAATGTATGGTATACAGGCCACAGCGAATGTATGGTATACAGGCTACAGCTGCAATACTCTTTCCAGGACCAGGATCTAGAATATAAAATGATATATAATAAAATAGAAATAGATTTATTATTCCCCTTAAATTTACGACTATTAAACTTTAAAGTTAAACACTCAAATTTGTTTCTTAACTTAATAATAATCATTATAATGTATTTTTTTCAAACTAATTAACACTGTATTATACTATCAATAAATTTTAAGCATAGCTAGGTATATGTATTGACGAATCGTCTTGGGACGTAAATTAAGTGGGCCGAACTACTTTATAGGTTTCAATTTTAAAATTGATTAAATTCAAAATAGGATATTACAGACAAATGCTTGATAATCTGCAAAATAAATTAAAAAAAGACAAGATTTGTTAATCATAAATTGCCAAGGACATCAATAACTTAATGCTTTACAAGGCCTACCGAACCCAAATCATTCAATTAGGTCGCGAAAACGTGTCAAACCATCTCAATCATGTGTTTATATCTCTCATTTATTTTATAAAGTAAATTAAAGTAGAATTTAAAGAATAAATAATAATATTTTAGAAAATAATCAGTAAACTAAAGTAAAACATAACGGTAATACCTTCGAAATCCAAATAAATTGTCAATCGTGTTGTTTTCAAATTTTCCAAACAGCGCCACCATTTGCACGAACGATAATCATGGACAACAAACAAAATCGTAGACCGCAACAATTACTTCCCCTGACCGGCGTTATTTTATAAACGGGGTTTTGACTAATACCAATTTATTAATTATTATTCATAAAGAACTAAAGAATAAAACAACAAACAACAAAACATATTAACTAATATTTAAAGCGTTAATAGAAAGTGAAAAATTATTTCCAACTTTATTTGTTTAAGCGCTAATTTTGAATATACGGAAAAAGATTGTAACGCAAATTTTCCTGACAAATATCAGTTACAGACTAATTCAATAAAGGAATAATATCACAAAATTAGTGGTATAAAAGTTTATATAATGATTAAACTAAATGTAAAACTTCGACCATAAACAACGTTGAATCAACGTTGTATATACATTGGCAATATATCCGTATGGTCGTCCATAGTTGAATATTGGTTGAACAACGTCACGACCATATTTCAACGTTGTTTCAACGTTGAAACAACGTCGAGTGCCTGCTGGGAATAAGGTATTTGCATTTTAACCTCCAAACCTTACCTTGCCCTATCAATGGAATGCAATTATCATACTTTGATTTGGAACTGTCCATTGTGTAAAAGGGAAAGATAGCTCAATACCAAAATATAAAAATTGAGCAGACATGATCGTGTCTGTCATGTCATACAGCGAGGATGTACAGACTGACCATGCTCTAAATGATGTAATTAGTTAAAGGCACGGGCCGCGGTCAAAATTGCTGGTTGACCGCCAAAGGTTGGTGCATGTATTTAAATATCAGAAAATAAAAGCAGACAATTGCAAATTCAAATCATGGAAATTTCACTAAACTAAACAAATGAGTCCAAACTGAGAAAATGTTTACACAAATATTATCCAAATATTGATGGTCAAGCAATGCCAAACTTGCTTGCGAAATATGTTACTTAATGTTCTCAAATAAAATTGAAATTGTCCCATCCGTAATGAATAAACTTGTTAGTATTTAGGCCGTGATCTATATGTTCTCACTTTCTTAAATTTGTAAAATATTTAACTTCACTTGTGAAGATTTGTTCTGACGTAGCTGTACATGTTGATTTTATATCGGCTCTTTCTTAGCTCATGCTCATCGTTTGATCGACACACTCAGACCCAAATTCTTATCAGAATGTTGTAAGGAATATTCACATTTCTTGTACAAAGTTCCTGTACAGATATAGGGGAGCGGTGGCCTAGTGGTTAAGGTGTCTGCCTCTCTTAACCAAGGCATCGACCATGTTTCCTGGTGCGTGTCGACACCAGTAATGGCTGGGTCTAAGAAGCAGACTCAAGTGTGGTTTGAATAAGCTTAAATTAATTTATCTCAATCGAGCTAAATCGAAAATATTCAAACACGATATTGTCAGTGAAGAATACCATCTATTTCAAATGTGATTCTTATGTCAACTCCTGTTTTGGACAATCACATTTGTAACACATTTTATCTGTTATGAATGCAATCCCATTTGTAATAAAGGTGGAGCAAATGTTATCCGTTACAAATGTGGTCCAAACGAGCTTCATTCGTCAAAGCGAGACGTTACTTTTGAAATCGGTGCATGTATGTTGAAGGATAAAGCTCTGGGAGTTTATTCATTTGTTCGTTCCTAACGAATATAGGTCTCGGATAGAGTGTTGGATAAATAGAGAGTACAGTGCTAGTTTCGATATAAAACTAATCAAGCAAGGGTTGGAAAAAAGGGCTTGACTCTGCCGTTTCGATTCGATTTCATTTTTTTACTTTTTTTCGGAACAGTAGGAGATAAAACATCTTGTTCAATTCAGTTCATTTCAATGTGTATTAATAAGGTGTCTGATAAAGCTGTGGGTGACTGATAAAGCTAAATTGGTCAGATACGCAGTTTATTAACAGAAATCGATGTAAATGACATGATCTAGCTCTCGGGACACCTATATTCGTGGAGAGCGTTATGCGGCATAACAGTGGTCCCTTTTTTCTTTCACAGTTTCAATAATAAAAAACAACAGGCTAAACAAGCAAACTATCTTTTATTATAGATTTATTTTATTTCATGCCAGTTCACAAAATAATGTTTTAAATGTATGAAAATTAAATTGTACAAACTCAATGTTGACATGTACTGCTTACTTTGAAATACATCTGTTTTGATATAGTGGGATACTTAGTCTTACTGTAAAAAAGAACATTTGAAGAGATACAAGTTAAACATAAGTAAACATAAATATATTTTTACTTATTGTCAGGCATTTATGTAACACACGCTTAAATTTTAGATAACGATAAGGAAAACAATAAGAAAGAAGAAAAGTGATATTTCGGTTTTGATATTGAAATTATTATTTTTATTTTCATTTTTGTCAGAATGTTTCTATTTGAATTCGTTTTCAATAAAATTATCAATGATATAAAACATATTTGTCTTTATATTTATGATATATTTTCTCAATGTTATTTGTCGTATTAAGAATGTACTTTTTTCATTTCTGCAGAATATTAAAAAAATACATAAGTTAAATTATTAATAGATACTTAAATTGGTGAACTTAGAATAACAGATAATATTGTTTTAATTTTCAAAAACTGCCTCAGTCGGTGCCTGGGGGGGGGGCATATTATACTTTGAATACAACAGCTTATAAGAATAAGACTCGTTGAAACAGAGTCTGCACAATTAATAAGTTTGTATGACATTTGTTGTCGTTGCTGTCAGAGAGCTTGCTTTAATACAAATGAATTAGTCAATCAAAATGATAACCCGTGAAAATATTTAATATGTTTTCTATATTTTTCGGACGAATTCCGTCTGTTATCAGTTGGACTTTCTGTAAAATATACATTGCAAACTGAAATCGGTGAGACTCATTGGTCATTCTAAAATAAAAAGTAAAGGATAGTTTTTACCATTCTAAAATAAAATGTAAACGATAGCTCTAAAATAAAATGTAAGGGATAGTTTGTGCCACTATCAAACAAAATGTAAAGGATAGTTCTCAAATAAAATGTACAAGAATGAGGATGGTTCTTTAACTTTTTCCTTTATTTTTGTTGGGGGGGGGGGCTAATTTGTAAATGATTACAAAATTTATAAAGTCAAACGTAAAACAAATGAAATATACTTCTGGTTTTTAATGCGGAATTTTTAACTATGGGTCACTCGATCTATCCGTGTTATTAACATAAGAACTAACTACAGTATATCATAATAATTCTAGTCAAATTATAACATCTATATTGTCCTAAACAAAAGGATTTTATTTTCTAATACATTGATCGTTTTTTGAATGTATTTATAGTAAAAAAGTATGTATTATTATATAACACATTATCACAAGTACATGATTTGTAGAACTTGAGGAATGAAATACAAAATGGAAATGTATAATCAAATGTGCCTCTATATTTCTTTCTATATTTGCTCGATGGAAAAAAACAATATACTCGACACTTTTAACAAGACTAACTAATTGCTAGAAAAATCTGCTTTTTGTTTAAAAAAAATACGTGCGTAACGATATCAAATGTCAGTTCCAAATCTTAAAATTGCGTATATTTGATTATCCTTGTTGACTTTGTTTCCCTGCAATCAAGTTATTTTGAAATAGTTATTTTAATCATCTTTGATTAAGTGGATATCAAAATATTTAATCGGTGCTGGGAGGAAATAAGCTTTATCATATTTAACAGCACAGCTTTAAGACAATCTCAAGTCTACATTATTATTAAATTATTTTATCTTAAGTACAATGGCTGTCTTGAATATTTATACATGTATATCACAGTCAAAAAAGTAGATTTTTTTTTGTAATTCAGTCACTGGATCTGAATGTTACATAATATCATAATATACATAATATCAAGATGAAAAACATGAATTACACAAATTTCATAATCAAACCATGAAACCCTTAGTCTCATTATCCAAAATAAAACATTTTCAACAAACATCAATTTTCTAAATAATTACAGCATGTGTCGAAAATATATGTCTTACATTTGAAATAATCTACATATATATAAAATCTTAGACCGGTTAATTTTTATATCTCGAAGTCATTGAATGAATGAGTTGAATCGCAGTTAGCTATTACATTGTACAACTATGAGAAAATGGTCCACCTAATAGGACTCTGCAAAATTGTCGATGCTGTCCGATCGATCTTACAATTTAAATTTTTTTTAGAAATAAACGTCACTGCAGCGTTATCAATAGCTCTCGGGCGCTGTTTTCAAGAAGGCTTTTCCGTTTTCCAAGATTTAATTACTGAAAGATTTAGTTTGAAACAATACAGTTTCCAACAGAAATAACAGCTGAAGGTCGCTATAAATAATTGTTTAATTTATTTTTTTTCCATTCTAGATCAGCTGCTTTCCAAAACAATACAAAACATTTTCTACATTATTTGTCGTACTAACTGTCTACAAATATGACAGTTTGTGCAATCAAAGTTATAGTATTGCGTTATCATTTTTGTGTAATTGTAATTAAAATGATACTGAAATGAAACTCTGAACTTACTATTAATTACATTACTCTTATATCGATATATTGATATATTTTGTAAATAAACGATATATATCTTAAACGTTTTGCAAATAAAGCATGCATTTATTGTTCCATGTTTTCAAGCCTGTCTACAATAATTAATTTTCTCATCATTATTTTAATTATCTTCTCGTATTATCAAAGAAACACTTTCTAAAAGAATGTTCATACTAAAATACAGTTTTAACATTTTAGCTTTCGGTTTTCATATAAGAATAAAACAAATGTGGTAATGCTACTCTCAAATAATCTAATGGCAATGTTGCTCAAAAAAAATCCTAATACGTATCATAAGTATTTTCTGGAATATATCATAAAATATAATTAAATACGTTAAATAAATAACATTTATTTGTTAGTCTGATTCAGTCATTGACTTTAAATTCGTTTGCATTTCCTATTTTAAACTGATCAGCGTCCTTCTCACTGGAAATAAAATTAATGGCAACAATACAGAAAAAAATCTAAATCTACTCATTGTATAATATGGAAAATAAAAACTTTCTTCTAGCTAAAAATATTATAAAATTACCACACAAATCAATAAAACAAAATTACTTTTTACCTACAAATGGGGTTTACACGTATTACTGGCAAAAGAAGATTTTGTATACCCCTCTTGTGATAGGTGTAACCTTGGCAGAATGGCCCAAAACACGACTATAATATGAACTTTAAGGCCCATAATGTCTCAGAAATGCTTTTATTTTTTACTTCTAAAATGCTTTATATTTTTTGGTGTACTTGTATGCTTTACAAAATGTTCATCATTGGCCAATTACCTGTACACCATCTTTTTCATTCTTCGTCCGTTGCCTTTTGCATGCAGTACAGACAATTGAAGTCAAAATACTACTTTGTTTACATAATGCTTCTTTTATGACAAATCATTTCACATTTATCGCTACTTTTTTCAGGTCAACAAGCATCTAACATGCTCTAAAACTATTATTTGAACGTTATAAAAATTAGAGTTTGTCCGTTTTAATGAAATAAAAATTAAGTCATTTCTGAGCATATTATGCATTTAACAAATACATAAAGAGCAAATATTACTAGCACCCTTTTCATGTTGTTGAGCTGTTGATTTCTTGTTCTCATTCAAGCTGGTGAAGAAAACAAACAAAAAACTTTTAATAGAGTAACTGTTTGGTGAAAATTTAACGAAACTTGTATCCTTGAGGTCAAGATATTTTATTTCTCGAACAAATGACAGCCATTATGTATCATCCGTCGTAATACATGTATGTAGAACATTTATATATTATTGTTTTAACTTCCAAATTAAAGATACTTGTAATATAAAGAAATACTATAGATGGTTGTGAAAGACAAATGTTAGTAGGTCTCGTGGAAACTGTTTTAGAAATGTTTTCTAATTCTGGCAGTTAAAACAAAAGGCTAGTTAAAACAAATGGCAAAAGTAAGTGTGGTTTAAACAAATACCCTATGTCGATGTGGTCCAAATGGATTAAAACGGTGTCGTTCAAACAAATTACAAAGTCCACTTTAGGTAAAACCATAACAAAGATCGGTACGGTATAAACAAAAAAAATAAAAACACATAGGAATGGTCGGGTTGTGGTCCGTCAGAAATCTAAATCATCATCGGCTTTGTCCAAGGCAATTGTAAATTACTAATCACATCTAAAAAGAATGTTCATGATTGCCAACCGGTCTTCAAGGCAAGGCTCCCCATTGCTGCATTGAATATCGAAATCTACTGTGTTGTCCCTTCTACCCAGTGATGTAACTTGCATTGTGGCTGGCCCTGTAACATGTAATCAACGACAGCTGGTAGATATTTGCCGTATTTTACTACTATTATCTAATGAATATGGTGGCTGTTTTAACAAGAGCCATGTCAACATGGCCATCCCCCGCCGAATGTGTTTGCTCATTGGAAGAATGTATATGTAGAAGAGCGGAATAATTCCATTTAAGAGGTCTTTTGGTAATGAAAACTGATGGCTATAGTGATTACAGATTTGAAACCTATGTGAATACTGATGGCTGAAAATAACAAAGGGCAATTACTGAAAAATAATGCAGGGTAGGTTATCATTCTTGTATGCTGCATCCCTCCTCAGTAAAATCTATCCACCTATGAAGTTTCAAGTTGATACCTCAAATACTTTTTGAGAAAAAAAATGAATTGAAAAATTAAGTATGAAAAAGAACAAAGGGCAATAACTCAAAAATTATAAAAGGTAGAGTTATCATTCATGTGCAGTGCACACCTCCTGAGTGAGATCTATGCACCTATGAAGTTTCATTTTGATATCTCAAAGGCTTTTTGAGTTATGCTCTGGACAAAAATTAATTTTGAAAAATAACAAAGGGCAATAACTCAAAAATAATGCAGGGTAGAGTTATCATTCTTGTGCAATGCACTCCTCCTCAAGGAGATTCATCCACCTATGAAGTTTCAAGTTGATACCCTCAAATACTTTTGAGATAAGCTCTGGACAAAAAAAGCATGAAAAAAAAAAAGGGCAATAACTCAAAAATAGTATAGGGAAGAGTTATCATTCTTGCGCACAACATTCCTCCTCAATAAGATCTATCCACCTATGACATTTCATGTTGATATCTCAAACACTTTTTGAGTTATGCTCCACTCAGGTGAAAAATTAGGTATGAAAAAGAACAAAGGGCAATAACTCAAAAATTATGAAAGGTAGAGTTATCATTCTTGTGCACTGCACACCTCCTGAGTGAGATCTATGCACCTATGAAGTTTCATGTTAATATCTCATAGGCTTTTGGAGTTATGCTCTGGACAAAAATCAATTTTGAAAAATAACAAAGGGCAATAACTCAAAAATCATGCAAGGTAGAGTTATCATTCTTGTGCACTGCACTCCTCCTTAATGAGGTCTATCTACCTATGAAGTTTCAAGTTGATAACTCAAATACTTTTAGAGATATGCTCCGGACAAAAATGTCGGACGGAAGGACGACGGACGAACGGACGGACGGAAGGTCGGACGGACGGAGACTATTTCTATATCCTCCGCCAAAATTTTTCGGCGGGGGATAACAAGACATATTATCGCCTTTTTTCGCCACGAAAATGCAAAAAAGAACGACAATTAAGAGAAGAATGCTTTAAACAATCTACATGTATGTGTCATTTTTTTCTCTTTTTGTCGTCCTTTCTTTTTTCTTTCGTGTTGACAATGCTAAAATGCAAAACCACAAAAATAGGAAAATTCGACTTCGTGTTCTGTATGTTAGTGGCGAAACAGCGAATATACGAGATGGCGTAAATCAGCCACAGTAAATTAATCTGTTTTACAAAAAGCAATATTACATCGTCTTTCGTAACATTGCATACTGTTATAAAAATATTTCCTTTCAAGAAATAATTCATACAAATTTGATTTATTTATTTTAACTTTTAATTTACTTGTCAGTACTATTAATTGGAAAACTTTGGTTCATTTAATAATCAAGACGGCATAAATATGTTGAAGAGCCAAACTTTACCGCGTACCGCATATACATTTTGAAGGACAATGTTCCCCCACTAATGATTTTACTTTTATTTCAAACGATTTGTTGTTGGTGTTTTGTTTTGGTAACCAAAATGTTACTCACTGGCTAATTACCTGAACCATTTATTGCTTCTGTTGCTTTTTGGTAATTAGTACAGTAATTTTGATTCAGTATTTTGTATGGATGTTCAAATACTATTTTATTTACATTTTCTACTTTTATGACAAATATGTTCACATTAAATGCTACTTTCTTGAAGTGGTAAGCATCTTACATGAGCTAAAACCATTACTAAAACATTATAAAACACATGTTTGGCCTTTCTAAAGAAGGAATACCATTTACATGTATTAGTTGCTGAAGCAAAATGTGTCTTTAATACCGTCGAACCAGTATAAAATATTTTGTCACGATAGAAAAATTTAGTTGTTTTTACGTATAAAAAATTTAAAGGAGTATAAGACACACAGTTTCTCGAATATTGGAGATTCCGGGGGAAAAAACACGTGTATACCGAAAGACACCATGGAGCTTAAATCAGTTTCATCTCGCCCTAGTGTCGTTTTAAAGATACTTCTTGATTTCAATGTTTTACACATGGATGAAAAACTTAATGTTATTGTTTTGCATGTATTTTGCTAACATATATCGAATTCAATTTAATATCCAACAAAGGAGATTGTTTAGCATTATTCAAAGCTTGGCTCCACGCATTTAGCAATTAGATGTAAATCTTACGAAAATCAAAAGAAACACTTTAAATGGAAAATTTGCAAAATATACTAAAGAAATATATTCAGAATTAAATTGAAATATCGATTTTTAGTTTTACCCCGAAAAAAGATTTGTCTTAATTCAGAATAAAATAAAATTGAATGACATTTACACGAAACAGTGCATGGTTTAAACCTTACAGAATATAAAAGTATTAAGGTATCAAATCAAGATATCATTTTAGCGTAGAGTTTTGAAACAAAATAAGAACTTAGTATAAAGTTGCTCTTACCCCCAAAGAATGTTCTTTCTACGTCGCCAAGGACAACTTTTACCTGTTTGTTTTCTAATGCATGGAATCCAAGTGTCACGTGGGCATAACAAAATCCCATTGGCTGTGGAGTGCAGCTGAATGTTCCTATATTTTACGTAAATTGGCATTAATTAAAGAATAAGCAAATTGCCAAATGCATCCATTAATATGAAATATACATCAAATTAGTGGATTGGTCTACAACAGGGGCACATTTTCCATAAGTATTTCAAATATTAATAAAAACAAAAAATATGTATCATTTGGATATTCTTATAAAGTATTGCTTCAAAAATGTTGATAAGGCCTAAAAGATAAAGTATGAAAAATGTAAATACGATGTATATATAAATGATGTTCTATTATAGAACAATTTATTATCTGCTATATGAATATACTGTAATATTGGATCATGTTTCTCGCACTTGTCAACAACATTCATAAATAATTATTCCGTAGTTTGTTGTTCATGTCTGATACTACAAATAAACGACATAATTATCTGTTGCATTTCAGATCTTCCATTATAGACCAATACACTTAAATAAAAGATCACAAAAAACGCGATCAATAACGCTTACACGGAAATCTACAAACGCATTTTCAGTTTCAAATAAGCCTTTAGTGTTATCACCTGTGTTTTTCATATATTATCGGTGCCAATATCAAACGCAATTTTCGGCAATCAAAATTAGTAAGTCAACAATATAGTGCTTGATCTCATTGCGCGGACTTGTTGACTGTTTGGTCAGACTGAACGGATATGCATACTGACTGAGCTCTATAACGCTGGTAAGGACTACACAATATCGGTTGATATTTTATATTTTGGACCATCCCATATTTGTTATTTGCACCTTCCCATATTTGATATTTGCAGCATCCGATATTTGAATTTTACACCTTCCCATATTTGATAATTGCACCATACAATATTTGATATTTGCCCCTTCCAATATTTGATATTTGCACCTTCCTATATCATGTATATTTGATATTTGCAACATCCCATATTTAATATTTATTTTTAAATCGTCAATGACTTATTAACTTATAAAGCAGCATGAAATATAATAACTCGTCAATTCAATGACTTATTAATCGGCAATGACATCTAAATAAGCAATTACTTGTACATTTGCATTGACATATAAAATGATATTGAGATATATTTCGACAAATACTTAAAATCAGTAATGACATATAAAGCGGCAATGACTTATTAATCAGCAAAGACATATAAACCGCCAATGACATATTAAAAATGGCAATGACATTTAAATCGGCAAATACTTAAAAACAGCAATGACTCTTGAAGAGCATTGGTATCTCAATTCACTGTCTGTAGTAGGACGAAACACACTACCGACCAAACATAAAATGATTCTTTTATAAACAACAATAATAACAAAAACAACAACAACAGCAATAATAATAATTATTATAATCATAGTAATAATAATAATTATTATTAACATAATAATAATAATAATAATAATAATAATAATAATAATAATAATAATAATAATAATAATACAAACCATCGGTGTCCACATCACATTCTGTTTGAGATCCTCTGATGTTACCATTACTACTTTCATAAATTTCATTCCTACACCACATTAAGTCCATTTTCTTTTTTTCAAGACGAAACCAACACGTTAGATCTTCGTGAATTGTCGGTTGTAGTGGACAGATGTGGGGAACTGTAAATAAACAGAACAGAACAGAACAGAACAGAACAAATATTTTATTTGACTTAAGCATTACAAGCCCATCGTCGTTAACAATGAAAAAGAGAACATATATATATTGGTATGACATGGAAGATTTTACATATAATTCATGAATTATTATTTCCTTAAACACATATATCGTGAGAATGTAACAAGGAAAAAATATATTTATATATACTCAAAAGTTACATGGAAAAAAAATTAACAAAAAAAGGAATGATTTCAGATTGAGAACGAAATTTATATTATTACAATAGTGAATCCCTTAATTTGAAAGCTTTAAAACAATATAGAGCCAAATTTTTTATGATCTTCTTATTACTACTTTGCATTAATGATATATACTTAATTATATTTGTGTGGGTATAATAATACCTGGGTATATAGAGCCTTCTTAAATCGACATAAGCTGTACATTTTAAAACAAAGTGAAATTCGTCCTCTAGGTCGTTTAAATTACATAGTGTACATTTTCGTTCATCGCGCGGAATATTGTAGTGTCGGCCGACTTCAATGTTAAGTTTATGAGAAGAGAGACGTAATTTAGCCAGTGCGTTTCTAAATTTTGTATTTTCTAATAGTCTGATATAATTTGACTGCTCAAACGTATCTTTTATCTCCCGGAAAATATTTAAGGAACTTGACATCTGCAACCCCGTTCTCCAATTACTTATGTATATATCTCTAAGCCTACAACGTAAGACTGGAACAAATACATTTATTTTAACGGATTAAGGATATAACCAGACTTCACTTAGACCAGAAGACTGAAGGATATCGCGTATATATATGAGACCCAATTTTTATTGATTCGTTTAGCTCTAGACTTTTGATTTGATCTTGTAAAACTGCCTTAAGTATGCAATTTTCAGACTTGACGGTATTAATCATCAGAAAATATTTAACCATTTTAACATGTCTTTCTATATAGAGTGGAAATCTACCTAACTCACTATAGAGAGCTAGAGTATGTGTAGATTGCTTAACATTTAGTATCCATTTACAAAATTTCTTATGTACTCTTTCTACAACCTCTGGATTTATATAACCCCATACCTCTGAGCCATAATTTAAAACAGAAAGTACATACGAGTCAAAAAGATTAAACAATATATTTATTGGAACTCTCATACTACGAACAATAGCCCACAAAGAATGTAGAGATCGCAACCCTTTCCCGGCTAATGTGTTTGCTGCTTGCATAAAAGACCCTCCACTGGAGAATACAACCCCTAGGTAATTAAAAGACTTGACTATTTCAATTTCATGATTATTATAATACCATTTGTCGTTTCTTCTTAACTTCCCCCCTTTCCTAAACACTACAACTTTAGTTTTTTCTATGTTAACTGTAAGGTTCCATTTACAACAATAAGAATATAAACTATCGAGTGATTTCTGTAACCCAGTACTTGTTTCAGAGACGATTACCGCGTCATCAGCGAATAGGAGCAAATATATCGCAATTTGATCAATATTTATTCCAGCGTCAATATTTTCCTGTAATTGCATTTCTATATCATTTAAAAATAAAGAGAAGCAAATCGGCGAAGTTATTTCTCCTTGGAACAAACCTAAATTACTATTGAAAAAGTCAGATAGGCTCCCTAAATGTTTTATACAAAGTTTCACTTCGCTGTACATTGATCTTAATACCGACAGAAATTTACCATCTATTCCTAGTTTTATAAATTTAAACCATAGCCTACTTCTCTCGATAGAGTCATAAGCTTTTTTATAATCTACAAAACAACAGTACAGTTTTTGTTCAGAAGTTGCTTTTGAATTAATGCGTTTAAAATAAAAACAGGATCTACAGTACTATATTTATTCCTGAAGCCAAATTGGGCATCAGTTAAAACGTTGTTCATTTCTACCCATGCTTTTAATCTTTCATTAAATAAAACAGTAAATAGTTTTGCAAAACAACTGGTTATAGCGATGCCCCTATAGTTATTTGGATCAGACTGGTTCCCTTTTTTATATATAGGTATAATTACTCCAGTGGACCAAGCACGAGGGAACTTGCCAGAATTTAAAATTTGATTAAAAAATAAATTAAGAGGATTAACTAAAAGAGGGGCAGCTACCTTAAAATACTCATGTAAAATATTATCAATTGAAGGTGATTTATTTGACCCTAACTTCTTTATTGCTTTTAAAATTTCGTCATCAGATATTGGCAAGTCCAACAACTCATTATTACCTTGTCGATTTAAATCGGTATCAAAATCCCTCAAATTCCGTACGAATTCTTCATCATCACACTGATCATCCCCGCCCATAAGATTTTTAAAGTAGTCATTAAATTCTTGATTAGATATATTTTCCCCAGATTTACTTGTTTTATTATGTTTAAACATTTTCCAGAATTCCCTGGGAGATTTTCTTCGTAATTGGTTCATTTTTCGGCCTTGTGAATAATTAAAAGAATTTTTAGATTTTCGGCATTGGTATTTATAATCCTTTTTTGCGTTATACATTGAAACCCTATCCGCATCAGAAAACGTTAGGTTAAATTGCGTAACTGCTTTTTTATATGTGTCATATTTACTCCGACATACATGATCAAACCATTCTTCATTCTTTTTACGTACTTGATTACAGATATTTGACGTTTCGTGAGATGATCTTTTAAAATACTTGTCACACGTGCGTACACAGAAAAGTTCGTAAACATAGAAGTAAGCGTATCAACATCTCCGTCACCGCTTATTTCTGTATTTAAAATATGTAATAAAGACTGTATGTTATTTGTTAAATCGAGTGTAAACAATTCCCTGTATCTATCATCAAACTTATAGTATGACTTCTCCTTATACCTACAGCTGTCATAACTTAATTTTGAGTTTATTTTAAAAGAGAAAGATAGGGGTGCATGGTTAGAGTAAGTAGTGAACTCATTTACCGCGAAATTGGCAATGAGGTCAAAGTTATTTTGACTTGTCAATAAATAATCAACTACACTAGCCCCGTTGTAGGTCACGCAGGTAAAATTCCCACGATCACCTGGCCATCTACCGTTAACTATGCGTTGATTGGTTGCTTTACAAAGATCTAGCAAGCTATCCCAAAACGATTGGTTGACCCATCTTGCGTGAAACGAGGCAAGAAAGTGTCGACGGTAATTACGTCATTCGCCTCTATATTACGATCAAATTGAATGAAATCTGCTTTACTACCAATTCTACTATTTAGGTCACCAGACAAAAATATTTTCCCACGTTCACTAAAAAAAATTATATCTTGTTCGAGTTGAGTGAAAATATCAACATTATACACGTTATGAACCGGCGAAGATTCCGGAGCAATATAAGTAAAACATATATAATAATCGTCTTCAATATTGAAAAAAAACTTATCTAACTTTAGCCAGATAATACAGTCTATTGTATTTTGTATTAATGTGACACCGTTTCGGATATTGTTCTTAATGTAAACAATTAAACCACCACTCGATCTTTTTGCTCGCCTATGTTGAATTTTTCGATAAGAATGAATAGGATTTGAGTAACCGTGAATATCAATATTGGAGTTCTTATTTGTCCATGATTCACTTAGACATATTATTTCATACTCACACACAATATTCAAAAATTCTTGTGATGTTGTTTTCTCATAGGTTAGTCCTTCTATGTTCCACGAAAGACACTTAAGTATAAAGTGAGAATAAATATTCATAAATTATTCATGAACATGCTGAGAAAGCATTACCAATGGGCGGTATACTCCTCTATTTATGTATTTGATATTATATACATATTATCTTTCATAAATGATCATTTAACGAAAACCTTTGTGTCAAATGGATAAAAAAGATATTATTCTGTCAAAGAATTAATTGTGCATTAAACAATGTATGTATTGATGAATTAGTTAAATGATGCATAAGTTTCGTTCATTTACTTTCACACTCTTTTTAATGGTTGCAATATATAACCAAAGATATAATGAAGAATGCTTTAGTCTATATTAAAAAAATGGAAATTTTTCTGTAAGATATTTAGCGTGGACACGGTTAATATGTCTTTTAAAACAGCATGTCGTCAGATGCATGCTAATTAATTGAATTTTTTTAAAAAAATGTAATGAAAAGTAAAAAGTTTTCAATGTAAACAAAGAAAGAAATTTTCAGATTGCAAACGAATCTTTTCAAATGAAGCATTGCAAACTAAAATCTACGATAATTAGATATTTATTACCAAAAATGTAGGTTAGAATACGCAAAACAAGCCCTTAATTAAAATTGTGATAAATACTGAAAAATCAGTTATTAATTGCATATAACATATAATAAATGTGAATATTTTTCACTTTTCTAAAAAACTTAGTACATTATTTCAAGGTTGGCTTTCTTCAAAAATTATGCTCATCTCGAGACATGCAGCTGTAACATTTATTTGATTATTTATGAAAAACATATACCTAACGGTACCAATTACTTGTAAACATTTATATGAAGAAAAGAAAAAGTCATTTTTAGAGTAAATTCACGCCACAGATCATTCTTGGAATATTACATAAACATTAACGTATGCTATGGCGTCACTGAATTACTGTAGTAGTATCGCGTTAACATCATGTTTTAAAATCAATGTGTGATAATATTTTATTATATTTTAAAATCTAAAAATGAAGAAAAAAGAAAAAACAATAACAAAACTTTGACTTACGGCAACTGTCGTTTCCCGCCATTGGTAAATTTACTCTGCCATTCAAACGTATAACATAGTTTGCATTTGCGCCCAAAAGCACCGTGCATAATACAAGACTGAACACCATTTCCATTGTATAAAGTCGGTTCCTAATTCTCCAAAGGATGATGGTCTATCAATACAGTCTTTCGCTCCTTCTTTCACTCGAATTGAAGCCTCATAATCACCAGCTTATATACTTATTCATTGCGTGATGTCTTTTCCATGATTGAAGCGAGACATGCAATTATATGCAATCCTTTGCACGAACA